TTGTTCGTAACACAACAGCTTGTAATACGAGAAATGAATGAGAATCCATGGATCAGCCCAAATTTCACCGGATTTGTATCCTAGGCCATCAAACCAGCCAGGTAAACACCTGGCCAGTGTAAACACACTCCTTTCGGGAGTGACATCACGGTCCATTTTGCCGTTTTACCCAGTCGTTTTCGAGATATTTCCATATGCAAAAATTTAATAATATTATCTAATTGCGACAATTTATCGAACTGTAACATCAAATAAAAAATATATTGAAACAAAACATGCGAAGAAAATCAATTAAATGCACACCAACACAAGAATATTTCGAAACGAAACATCGCCGCAAACGTTTTTCAAAGTGAATCATGGAAAACAAATTTTATTGAAATGTAACGCGCGGTGTTTCACTATGAAAAATTCTCTGCCAATGTTACACTTTAGAAAAATCATTCGTTTTTGTACCATTCATATATATTCCCAGAATATGTCTTGTTTTCAATCTCACCCGTTCATTTGTGCACAAATGATTGCTCTAGGAACCATTGCGATATAACGCATAGATGAGACAGAACAAATTTCTAATTTAATGTACGAACTGTGAAACACAAGACAAAATGTTCTTTTTTCATTGCCGCGCCCTGTTTACTTCATCAGACACATTTATTTGAATACCCACCCAGTCGCTTTTGAACTGATCGTAGCTTCAATGCAGTTCTATAGGCTGAAACCAAAAATTTAATCAATGAGTCAACAGTCCCAAATTCAGTTTTAATGTATTGTATTACCTGAGAATCTAACTTCATTCAAATCGGCTAATGACTTCATCAATTCAATCATTTCAGGATGGTCCCAGTGAGTCGTTTCGCGTTCATGACTGTAACAATAATTATTATGCATTTGTTTTTATTTAAGTAAAACTATGATCGAAATAAGTTCTCATGGAATTTATATGAAATAAGCTTCAGAACATACTCAATATAATAGGGCACGTTATTTGGTGTAGTTGCGCGTTCCCACGGTGATTTAACGCTTGTACTGAGACATGGAATGGGACCGATTGTGCCATTATTCGTGGTGTGACTTCCATCGGGAGCTAGAATATTTTGATTTGCGCCAGCGTTTATGAGCACCTTATGGCGCTCCTCTATAGCAATTTGCAACAGTTTCATTCTATGAAGAAACAAAGAAGACATGAGGCTGTGAGAATGAAAATGGCAATACTGGAATGAACATTCTGAAGCGCATCAAGAAAAAAAAATTCGCAAAAGTGAATCATGAGTTCTGAATACGCAAAAGTGAACCATGAACCTCTTATGCTGCCCATGTAAATTCATGTTTCACTTTTGCATATTCTGAACTCATGATTCATTTTTGCGAATTTTTTTTCTTGATGCGTTTCAGAATGTTTATTCCTGTATTGCCATTTTCATTCTCACAGCCTCACATGTCGAATTATTTAATTTTTCTTAAGTTTGGTCATTTGCTTATTCATTAATAGGCTTTTTTTAGAACCAAAATTTATGTAAAACTGAAATATCTTTTGTTGTATCTTAAATTGTACAGGTGTACCTTAAACTGTATTGTACAGTACACTAACGGTCTATTTATGTTCTTTGAGATAATTTTATCTTATGGATAAAAATGTTTTTGCTCAAAATACCGAATTTTTTTAGCAAAATTCCCACATATTTAGTTGTAAATCATTATTATTCTGCACCATACACAGCGTTTCTTCGCCAGAGGTGGTTATTTTGGTATAAATATTTGGTTGCATATTTACAATATTTACAATGTATTCTTACTTTCTTCAGTCTTTCCAAGTTCTATTTTAATTTATCAAATTACCTTCATTACTATTGGCGAAAGTAGTAATTTTGCATGTATTGTATCTGCTCTGACCCTTCGGGTCGCTACCTCACATGAAATTTTCCGCCCGATCGATTGAGACTGGTCTGAATTTTCCCCGATTTCCCACAGTAGCGCTTTTCTGAGAGTTTTCCAACCAATACATAGTAATATTGCACAGCAGAGCAGATACAATACATGCAATATAGTAACTACTTTCGCCAATAGTAATGGTGGTAATTTGACAAATTACCATTGGTGTATGTCAATCGTACTAATTCCCTTTTCAGTGAGAGGATTTCGAACATTTTGAGAAATACAGGAGGGCGACGTCAAAAAAATTGCTTGGCAGCGGCGAGTACTCCCGCAGTGGTGAGAAACTAAAAACACCAATCACCAATATTGATGTTAACGATCATCAAATTGTTCAAACTAAATTTTATCCACTTTAGGCACTCATTACCACTCATAACAATAAAATTCTTGATTATTAGAATCACATATCAAGTTTACATGCTAACTCAAAATCAAATCAGGAAAATTAAAAGTAAATTCGGCAATTCGACGAATTACCGAACGTTTTTTGTGTTTTCGGCAAAATGTCGAACTATCAACAATGTTTGAAAAATGTTGGTAATTTTGAATTCACTGGAAAAACCGTATGTATTGTTTGTCAATTAAACGACAAATGAGCGAGCGAGAGAAGGAACCACAAATATCACCAAAAACTCAATTCGAAAAAAAAACTTTCTTTATTTCAAAGAATTCCAAGCGACTCTTCATTACTCTTAAGGCCATATGCTTACTGATGCGGAGCATTCAATGAGTGGCGAAACACACTCAATTGCAATTTAACACTGCCATTGATGCAATTCACACGATAAATTATCTGAATTTATCAAAATATTCGATCGAACAAATGCAGAAAGACCAATTTGGAGTAAACGAAAAATGTAAACAGAAACGAACTGTCATTACAAAATCTGGACTCATTTAACATTATAAAGCATTGCCAATACACTTGCCCGAATGAATAACAAGTAATTTGCACACAGCGATTCGCTCAGTTGTGTTACGGTCTTGTCAAACATCGAAACTAGCCCGAATTTCGTGATAACATTTCGTCTCTGTTTACATTTTTCGTTTACTCCAAATTGGTCTTTCTGCATTTGTTCGATCGGATATTTTGATAAATTCAGATAATTTATCATGTGAATTGCATCAATGGCAGTGTTGAATTCCTGTGAAAATGGAATCCGATGTGAGTGAATTTCGACCATGGCATGGAGGGAGATAAAAAAAATCAACAGCAAAAAATGTATACATTTTGACGTTTAATATGCACACAAGTGAAAGTTTTTTTTTCGAATTGAGTTTTTGGTGATATTTCTATTGACTAGATCGAGAGGAGAGTTAGTTCATCTGACTTTGTTGTGAAAGAGAAGAGTAAGTTTCTTTCGACTCAAAAATGGTTAAAGGCGAGTATGTTCATTTTTGGCGGGTCCTCGCGGTTTTCCACGGTTTCCGCGGAACTGATAAGAGATAACAACTTGGTGTTTTCGGCAAAGTTGTAGCACTCGAGGTCTTCTATAACATTGCTGAAGTCAGTTATCTCTTATCTCTTATCAGCTCCGCGAAAAGCGCGAAAAATGATAAGAAAAAAAAAGTTCTATATAAAATTTGCTTTTTTATGTGCGCGATTTGCGCGCAACTGATAAGAGATAAGAGATAGACGTCAGCAATGTTAAAGAAAACCTCAAGTACTACAACTTTGCCGAAGACACCATGTTGTTATCTTTTATCAGTTCCGCGGAAACCGTGAAAAACCGCGGAGGCTAGACGGGATGCCAACATACTTCCTTTTAACGCAGATAGAATCAACAGAAATCATACTCTCCTCTTTCAAAATATATTAGAATTTTTTCACATACTCTCCTCTCGATCTAGTCAATAGATTTGTGGTTCCTCCTCTCGCTCGCTCATTTGTTGTTTAATTGACAAACAATACATACGGGTTTTCCAGTGAATTCAAAATTACCAATGCCATTTTACCAACATTTTTCAAACATTGTTGATAGTTCGACATTTTGCCGAAAACACAAAAAACGTTCGGTAATTCGTCGAATTGCCGAATTTACTTTTAATTTTCCCGATTTGATTTTGAGTTAGCATGTAAACTTGATATGCACACAGAAATAAAATGTGGTAGGTTTGTGCTATCTATTGGTGACGACTATAGTTACCACAAGTCTTAGAAAAGTTACCCCACGCACCAAAATATTACTATGCACAGCACACATGCATTTTTTGGTTGGAAAATTCTCGGAAAAGCGCTACTGTGGGAAATCGGG